AATAAAGGAAAAATGTACTTCTATATACTTTGGGCTGTAAATGCCAAGAAGAACTAAATTAATTATGGCAGTAAAACAGAAACTATGAACAAGAGCATTAGGAAGAAATGAAGAGAGGAGATGGCATCTTTTAGCTTTCAGGATAAAACAAAAGACTTCATTTTAAATTATGATAATTGAATAATGATACCTGTAACAGTGGGGTGATGTCTAAGATTGTTGGAGCTACAGTTCAACTGTACGTGGAAGAGATCATACTGGAGAAGACTAAGCTATGAGATAGTAAGTAATCTGAATAACAGAATAATAGGGAAGGAACTCTATCCACTGCTTCTTGTTCTGCCTTCTGGTGCTTTGGAAAACAGGTTGACCTCCTCTTCTTTGTGACAGCCCCTTAGATATTGGAACACTGCTATCATGTCACTCTTATACCTTAATCACACTTAAGGTTAAGTTTGCCTTGGGCAAAGGACAGTAATATATTAAGAAATACTGTACTGGAGAACCACTGTTATTGTCACACCAGGAGAAATTAGAAATATTGTTGAATACGTTCAAACCCTATCTATCTGCTTCTAGTAGCTAAAAAATCAAAATTGTAAAATAGATAGATCGATGATAGACAAACAGAAAGATGGCTATTTCATACTTTTTAATCACCCATCTCCCTCATGTTTTTTGATCGAAAATGAAAAAGTATAAAAAGGGTTTGTCCTATTTATCAGAAGAGCTATGTTATTTCATCCCATCTAGAAATCATCAGTGTTGATGGTTAAACGTCATAAATATAAATATCCAGTTAAAAAGGAAAAAAAAAACAGCATTCCTCTTATATTTTGGATATGAATTAGGAATTAGTCTCTGACAGTTCTAAAGAAGTATAAGCATCACTACTTACATAATCTCTCTTTTGCTCCAGTGATCCATTTCCAGAAAATATTTGTTGAGCCAGAAAGGCAAATAAAGGGTCAGGAAGAAATGAAGAATATTGCAATATTAGCTCCAAAGTGCCTGGACAGCACTGCAATAAAAATGCTTTTTTTTCAGGAGGCAACTGGAATTTCTTGTTTTTTTTTTTTGAAGGCAAAGGTGCTTCCTGAAAAAGCATCTTTAGGACAACCATGACCTGGATGACTTAAAATCTCTACAGACTTTTCGCTACACAATTTGGGATGAACACCCTTTGAATGGTGTGGGAGTAGGAATGAATTTCCAGAGGGAGAAAAATTACAGACTACAGGAACCAAGAGCACTACTCAGGTGACCCTGAGGACACAGATAAACTCTCAAGTGCTTCAACAGCCCTCTAAAAGGATGCAAACTACCAGCTGTCTGCAAGGAATATAAATCCTTCCATTCCCCACTATCCTGACAGAATGGAAGAAACTTCTTGGATGAGAAGCAAAACAACTTCAAAATAAAAAACAAAGAAGTCCAATTGCTCCCTGAAAAAGCACTTTGGGGACAACCATGACCCAGATGACTGAGAATCTCTACAGACTGCAATAAAAAGTTAATTCCTTTAAATATACAGGTATATCCTTCTCTCGGACATTGACCTGAAACTTAAACATAGCTATGTCCTCTTTTAATTCTCAGAAAAAAATCTAGTGGACTCCCACCCTGTAGTTGAGAAGTCTGCCGGCTATCAGCCAATTGTGAGTACTTAGTCATATCCAGTATAGGTAATTGTTGACGCTGATAGTAAGGTTTTGGATCCTGAGCTTGGCAGAGTAGCAGGCTCTGAAACATGCTGCTCACTAAAGAGAACCAAGAACTGGAGATACATGATTCCGCAAAAGGAAAAAGTAATTATTATCCCAAGAAGAACTCTGGCCATATAAGAATGTTCTCCAGGCCTTGTTAAAAGCAATTCTTCCGCTTTTTGATCTACTCTTCTGCATCTTTTGGTTTCCACATTCCTCTTGTTCCTTGATTTCTGGATAGACCTTCGACTTGATCTTGAACCAGTTTCCCTCACCGGCAATAAATCTGTTATCTGTATTTCAGGCAACTGTGCTTTCCAGCTTTGCTACTATATCCAGCCCATATTCATTGTTATCTTAGGAAAAACCATTTACTGCAATAAACAGATCTCTCTTGGATTTATGATTCCTTGGAAGAGTTTATCTCTCCTTAGCTATAATGAGTAATTTACAACAAGGCAATTAAAGGCCAGGGACTTGTAAATTGCCTCTCTGCCTGTCTGCTTTCAGTCAACACTTTGCATAGGACACACAGAGTGAACCCTAAGTTGACAGCAATGTGATCTAAAGTCCCCCTCCTCCTCCTCCTCCTATCTTGTTCAGCCAAAATAAAAATTTTCAATAAAAGTAATTCTGCAATTACTATATGGAGAATGGGAATATTAGGCAATTTGGAACTGATATGGAGAAATTTGTATAATTGGATCCTTTATCGAGTAGCCCTCCTGTCTTCTTAAGGATGGAAATGGATCTGCTTTAGGTCACTGAAGGGGGCGAAGTCTGTCTTTCTGTTTTTTAAAAGATAGTTAATATTCCAGATTCTTCTCTGGCCAGACAGTGCTTGCAGAACCAGTCAGAAGCAGGACATCGGGCCCAGTCCTGTTTACAGTATTTAACATGTATTCCTTAACTGTGGAATAAGCGTATATTCCAGGTTTTAAGCATAAATGTAAGAACTATGTCAGCAATTTTAAGGACAAGAACATAATCTTTAATATAGTGTTACCCTAATGGTTCTGGCTGATTCTATAGTGGAAGGTCTGCTGGTTTTTAGGCCTTAATATATCTAGACGTCTACTCTATGTATTCAATGTATCTGGATGGAAGATATCAGGGAGTAACAACAGCTAAAGTGTTGGGTGCTCCACAGATGGAAGATCTAATTTATGATATTCTGATCTGCAAACTGTACATACATGATCCAGTGAAGTTAGAGTTCTGACAGCAAAATGATTTGCTTCTTTCTGGCAGACACAGGTCTATAACTAACATAGCAAATAGTGATACCGGTATGTGCAGTCACCTCTAGGAATCATACAGTAGGAACAATGGCAGAGAGCTATGAAGGCAATTTTTTAAAAGCATAGTATTGTTATATTGGTTTATATTTTATCTGTTGCCGGCAGTTAAAGGTGAAGCATCTTGTGTGTACAATTGTGTACACAATCTTTCTGTTCATGTTTTTGATAAGTGGTGGGATGTTGCTAAATGTTTATCTGCAATAAAGTCACTTACTTACAATTGGATATCTGGGAAATAATCATATTAAGACCCTTTTCAAGAAAATCTAGGAACTAAGAATGGGAAAGAGTTAATGCAAAGACCAGGAACATTCCTTTTTATATATATTTTGCTTAAGGCACAAAATGATACAAAGGATGCAAATCCTGTCCATGTATTTTGTGAAATGTTTCCAATGGGAGTAAATCTTTCCCAAATCAATAAAAAGAGAAGCTTTAGCAATCTTGGGCCAAAGGGAGAAATGTCCCCCTATACACACATACTGTATATATGCACATGCCTGTCATGATCAATTACAACAGGTCATTGTTCAAGTTTAGCATCATATATAACAAATTACAGTGGCCAAATGTGGGAGCTGCAAAAATAGCACATAGTGGCTCTTCAGAAAAAGGAAAAAAAAACATAGAAGATGAATGTTTTACAAATGTCTTCTGGCCAAGCTCTCTTAAAAAGGAAGGTTGGGTTTAGTTAGGAGCCAAACCTAGGTAGGAACATAAGCATGAGCCGCAGTGGTGCAGTGGTTAGAGTACTGTACTGCAGATTACTTCTCCTGACTGCTGGCTGCCAGCAGTTTGGCAGTTCGATTCTGTCCAGGCTCCAGGTCGATTCAACCTTCCATCCTTCAGAGGTCGGTAAAGTGAGGACCCAAATTGTTGGGGGCAATAGGCTGTCTCTGTAAACTGCTTAGAGAGGGCTGTAAAGCACTGTAAAGCAGTATATAAGTTTAAGTGCTATTGCTATTGCTATCCATCTACCATGAGCATACCAATTCTCTTCAACAGCTGATAATTCAAAATAGTATAACCTCTAATTTATGGATTTAAATTTGACCTGTTTAGTTCTGTCAACATGGCCATAGCATTCAGAAAACTGTTCATTACTGAAATGGCACTTTCATGTACTGCAAGCAAACATTCTGTGCAGAACTTGGTATCAGCAGGAAATTATCTCACCCGCTACAGTTTTTGTGACAACCAGTTTGGTATAAAGGTTAAGGCATCGGGCTAGAAAATGATAAGTCTCGCCTTAGGCACAAAACTAGCTGGGTGACCCTGGGCTCACAACGACAACTCACTTCTGAAATCTTGCCATGAAAACTACGAGGACGTGTCCAGGTATTTGCTAGGAGTCAAGGCATCAAATAACAAAAAATAAAAAAAAATGATAGTTTTAAATTACAAATTAAATACTATAGGTGTTAAATAATATGGATTATTCCTTATACTGATCTCTTTGGGATTCCACTACACTCCTTAGCTGCTACGGGTCTAGCTGAGTCTCTGTACTTGATTCCAGGTGTGACAAAAAGAGAAAAGAAATAGCTGATTAGACAGCCACCACCAAACAGTGCCAAAACTATATACTTTTCTTAGCCGAAAAGTCTTGGAGATTCTTGGCAAGATTGACTTGGAAGTATATTCACAATCACCATATGCATGATATACTCAGTACAGAAGTCAGGGTGAAAAAAAAGATTGAGATTACATTATCCTTGAACACTGAAGCTGTTTTGACACCAACCACCTCTTCATCATGTCTTAAAGTGCAAAACTATCCTGGTTCCTGGCCATTTTCTAGGTCTATGGGATCTGGGATGCAAGTGGATTTCAGTCCTCAGATCTCCACATGCTGTTTATTTTATATGCTTAAAAAGGAACCCCCAGCCAGTGTTTGAGACCACAGAGTTTCCAAGCCTGAAAGAAAACACACTGCAGCCCTGCAAAGATATTATCACTTACAGTAACATACGCAGAACTTTCACATATTTACCTGTGCTACTTCTTCAAAATCATCATGCCTTTTCTGAAGAGCTCGTGCTCTGTGAAGAGACTTCCCCACTCCAGTGTGTTTACTAAGAAAGGCCTCCCCATGGTTTTCAATCCAGTCCAGAACCTGAACAACAAGGATGGAGGAGAAGGAGGATGGGGAGGAGGAGGAGGAAGAGGAGGAGAAGGAGAAGAATCCATTATTATTTTATTGGCTGTTCAGCACACAACATTTTACCTTGGACACCACTTAAAAGCTATACTGTTTCATAATGGATTAACAATAGTTTGAAAAATTGTCTATATTTACATTCTATACTCTTCATCGCTGCATGCAATCAAATCCAAAATATTTTTTTTCATTGTTCATTGATTAAGTATCATCACTGAATTCTAGCCATCTGCTCAATTCTGGATAACTGGCCCAGACTTTGAAAGAAAAATGAACTTGCACTATTTTTACTGGAATTTAAAAAACAAGAAACCAATAAATAAATTAAGCAACACTCTCGCCCTATTTTCCTGTATAAATACAGCTCATGTCTTAGATATCCATCGACTTAGCTCACATGGGCACAAGCATGTATTCCAGTAGCAAAATAGCTCAATTCAGAACTGGAAGAACAATAGAATTGTAAGTTGTGGAACTGGGTGTGTGTTAGTTGAACAGTGCTACGGTTGACAATGTTACACAGCATTATAATACATTTGCTTTTCAAATTATATCAGAACTCAATGTACTCTGGTGTTTAGAGAATAAAAAACAAAGTGGCAAATCTACCACCAAACTTTCAAAACTGTAAAATCATTCTACATCAGAAATACTTCATACATTCGTATTTTTAAAAGGGTTAATACAAGCATGTCATAAATGCAAACGATACAAAACAAAGAGAATATCTGATGCTCTATCAGAAAATCACAGTATTCTATATTGACAATTATTCTCAAGAAATATTATCAAGAGCTGGGTGTATCCATATAGCAATGCTCAGAAATGTGCTCACCTGTGTTCTCAGATGGGCATGAACCTGGAGGTTGGCAGGTGGCTACTGACAAGATCAGTGTCCATACCTGAGCTAGTGTACTTCATCACTGTAGCAGTGAATAGCAGTGTGTATAAGATTTCAACGTTTATTGAATAATGTCTTCTAATTACCAATATTAAAATAAATCCATCCAGCTTTTTTTCAAGCAAAATACTTTTAGGCTATTTGGAGAAAGGCAAGAGGCGATAGATGTATTTCATCAAACAAATCTATTTTAAAACTTTTAAAAAGCTGTTATGTTTGTTTCTTCCCTCAGTCTGTGTTAAGCTTGAGGAATAGATGATAGGCAGGAAAATCCCCCCTCCCCATTTTCCTCCATTCATCAAAAAGCCTCCATTCCGAATGCTGAAGTTTCAGAATGGAGGCTTTTTGGAGAACGGGAGGAAAATGGGGAGGTGGGGATTTTCCTGCCTGCCATTCTTCTCTCAGCCTATGCTAAGCTTGAGGAATAGCTCCTTTTGGCCGCTAAAGAAGCGGCACGGTGGAGAGGCAAGGCAAAAAGGGGGGGGGGAGAATTAAGGCACCCCGCGAAAAGATGGCCTAGCCATTTTTTTGGGGGGGGGGGTAAAGAAAATAAGGCCCTGTCTTATTTTCTAAGAAACACGGTATAATAGTTAACAATGCTTGGATCCCCTACATTTTTGTTAAGATTATAGAAAAGCAAACATTGTAAAAGAAAACACTGTCACATTTCAGAGACAGTGAGCTGCTATGATATGTGAGGTTCCTCTGATCCATCTTAGAGACAGTATTTGAACATGGATTTCAACAGTAAGGATGATTTGATAGTCTCTGACTAGCTTTGTTGACATTCTATTGACACATCCCTTAGCATCCTCCCTGTCACTGGGGAGTCTTTTGGCCTTGCATTATGTGAAAATTGGGAGGCCATATTTCTTGAAAGGGATAAAACTGTTCAATAAGGCCAGAGAGAATTTCCCTAAAAATGAGCTCCAGAATGAGTCCGAAAACTTGGAAGTCAAAACATCTGGTCCCGGGGCAGAATCCAGATTGAATCCTGCAACATTATCCTGGGACACGTATATTCGTCTTCATTTGTGACTGTTCAATAAATTCACATACTCATAAAGAGTTAATTCTTGTTTATGTAATGCACTCGGTTTTAAGTGACAACCCTGATTTTGGCTGAACTGTGTCCATTTTCTTTTTTCTAGCTTCTAGAGAGGTTTTTTTTCTCACTGCTTCAGGGCTGACACAGCCTGGAGCGAAGAGGCCAGGGTGGGTATGTAGAGATTAGCTGGGGTGTTATAGTCTAAATAAGATTCTTTCCCTTGTGAATCAAGGACGTTGGTGCAGGTGTCTGAAGGGTGGAGACTGAGGCCCTGTGGGGAAGTGGGCTGTATGGTGATGGGATTGTGTGACTGAGACTCTGGGGGGAAGTGATAAAGTTTTACTTTTAATTGGGGGAAAAACAGTGGCAACTTAGAGCTGGTTTTCCACCAGGAATATGCCAATTTGATATGTCATAATGAAATGTTCTTTGAGGAATTTGCCTGCCTCAGAGTTCTTATTGAACAGGATATATTACTGACACTAAGTCTGAAGAAGGAAGATAGGCAACCTAAATTTCTGCCTGAAAATTTCATCTAGATCTTGAGCCAAAGCCAGAAGTCATTCAAAGTGTAAAACTCTTCAAATTCCTATCACCTAGTGCCTATTATGCCATTTACTTCTACCCTGTCAAGAAATGCACCAAGCAGATAAGGACAACCTATTTCTGTATACAGGTAAGCTGCCTGGATTGCAATGGGTGGATTAAAGGAACAGAACTCTTACAAAGCTTATTGAAGGAAAATGCTTCCTCAGGAGCTATCCTTGGTACTGTAGCTATTTGTTGTATTTGGAGACTAGGTACACAAAGACAATGTGCCCAAGAAAATTTGCACACCACTTGGTGTGCTGTACTTTGAGTGAAAGACACATCCCACATATCTGTTGTTATAAAATACATTTATAACCAAAATATGATGTTCTACTGAATTTATATTTTGGGTTTCAAAGGAAGAGAATATATCTGTAGCTCAGGATTGAACTAAATCCTTGGTGGGTTCTTGCTGAACTAAGTTGAACTGTAGATTGAACTGAGTTAACAGAATGTAAGTGTAAGATCTTACTTTTCTCTATACTGAATTTCATTTACTTGGATAGAGCCCAGTATTCAAGTCTGTAGAGATCCAGATGGATCTTAAGCTTATCATCTGGGATATTGGCTATTTCTGCTAGGTTAGTGTCATCTGCAAATTCCCTTCTATTCCCTCATCTAAATTGTTTATGAAGATATTGAGGAGTACTGGGCCTAAAACGGAATTCTTGGGGTACCTCACTGCTTATTCCTTCCATGTAGATTTATGTCCATTGAGGACTACACATTGAGTATGATTTGTCAGCCAGTTACAAATCCATCTGGTGGTGATGCTGTCTATCCCACATTTTTCTAGCTTACCAAGAAGTAGGTTGTGGTCTACTTTGTCAAATGCTTTACTGAAATCCAAGTATACAATTTTTTTATTTGAGGGAGGATTTTTATTGGAGAGGCTTAAAATTTAGTTGAAACCTAATTTTAATTTTATTTGGGGAAGGTGTTCTGCTATTCCAGGGCTTCTGAGGAGCCACATTACCACAATGAGACTATCCTGCCCTGTTAGTTACAGCAGAAGAGGCTTACTTCAGATCCCTTCTGACAATTTTTTTGGGCAGGTGGGTCCTGGAGAAGAGCCTTTTCTGCTGTGCCCCTCCCCCTCTGGAATATTCTTCTGCTGGCACTTAATATGTGTTTGTTACGAGGAATGAATCGGTGTCGAAGGAAGTGAAAATGTCTGTGTGTAAGAGGTACTTCCACCTACTTTGTATCAGTAAAAGCATAACAGTAAGTTAAGTGCAGCAAGAACGGATTTCTGAAAAGCATGTGTGGGTCAAGAATGAATGACTCTGAACGGATGGGGATAAAACAAATGGTGAGGTTACAGTGATTGTTCTTGATATAAACTGGAATTAGTTATAGGATCCACTTTGGGTCAGTCTGGATTTAGTTAGAATTTTTTATCTTTTTTTTAATCCCTGTCTTTAGTTCCTTTTTGCCCATTTTTTCTCTCTTCTTCAATTTATATAACAATGCTTACCTTAAAAAAAGAAATAGAAGATGGATATATTTTGTGTGTACAACGGTCACATTGTGTGTGTATGATATTAGTGGAAAACAGAATTAAAATTTCACAACATTTACATGCATTTTAGGCATTGACAGAATTAGCCAAATCATAGAACAGCTGGTTCTATTTTTTGTGTCAAACTTTAACATCCTTAACATGGCTACTAGCAGATGTTTTGGCATTTTTACAAGGGTACCACTGGCACACATGAACATCACTAGGCCTTCTCTTTATAATAGAAGAATAAACTAATCCAACTGGAAATAAATTAATTATGTCAGGGAAAGCAACCGGCTGCCATTGAGGCAGTTAAAACAATTATGTGTTGGTCCACAGGATTCCTGTCCATTTCAGCAGAAATGATTAGCTTACCAATACTGCATCTCTCCCTTACAAACCTATTCATTTGAACACTTTCAGAACCAGCCAAGCAATCCAAGTGACCACAGTAGTTCTTCCCTAGGCATTCCCAAGAAAAACATTCATGCTAATCCATATCATCATTCTGCTGTCATATCATGGTTTTTTTTTTCTCATCAAGTTCCTTTACTTTACTTCTAAGAAACAAGCTTTAGGCTGGCCTTCACTCTTCTTTTGTCTCCTGTAACGATCATGGGAAGTTTAATCTATTTCTGAGATGTATCATAAATCTGCTTAGATTTTCCAGGCAAGGTTGAATTTACCATTCCTCCCTTTATTACTTCATTTTTTTTTGATATGGACGCTAAGAGTAGGGTTCATGGCTTTCTTCATTCAGGATTCATCTCCTATGGAATCATTCTGTAAGATTTCTTTGAATTGCCTTTTTTCCCATGCTGCCTCCCCACTTTTTAACCTATGTCTTTATTTTCTTTAATTTGTATCGCCGCCCATCCTAAATCAGTAATGGGCAAAGAGCAACCATAAAA